TACATTCTCCTAAGATATCCCTTACGAAAGAAGTAATTGATTCCGATGGGCCTTCAGCCAGGTTAATAAAGGGCATCTAAAGAAGGCTGAGCCTATGACCAACCCACCTGGAATGTGCCCGATCTCTTCATATCTCATAAGCTAAGCAGGGTTGAATGTGGATAGTCCTTGGATGGGTGACCACAATGCACAAAACTTGTGTTATAGGGTGCATCGGAGCAATGCTTCAGAGGGCAGTGCAACAACAGATTTCGTTGCACTGTTCTATGCTCCAAAAACTATACTCATCACCTTCACCAATTTGCACTGACCAGCACAGCCCACGTGGCAACAGCAGGCCGTCATCCAGCAGTGGATTTGCAAAAAGGCTGCACATGTACAAGAAGGCTCAGCATACAAACGTAACTATAAACATACAGCATCCATCGCACTATAAACAGCATACTGTACCTGTAAGTAGAAATTTGGTAATGCTTCGTTAACGCAGTTTAAAGGAGTGACTCGACTCACGAGTGGTTCGCAAGGCAGAAACATTATGAAACGCAAACAAAACAGCCCAGAGGCACATCAATCAACACGTCGCAACTCTTCCACGAAAATGAACCGCAAAACATGTAACACTTCTACAGCACACTTATTTATTCCTAATGAGCAATTCCCTAATCAACCAAAAACACCTGATATTCAGGGGGCCATATGGAATGTTGTCGTCATGACATTTTCATCTTCACCTCTTGCACTAAATATAAAGCAGTGTCTAAACACTGGCACGCAGGTTTTTACACGATTTTTTTTGTCACGCGCACGCAAGGCATTTGCTAGAGGAGCATTGCACGCATACAAATGCTCCCTAATTGCGGTGTCTTTAGTAAACACAACACATTGCAATGCCGTTGCCTCTCATCAACCAACCCAACTGATTTTTAGAGGATGTCACTGCATCAGCAACAGTCCCTGTGTTGGTTCAACGCTTCCGTCAAATATAATACTCAAAGGTAAAAGTGCAGCCCTGCAATATCTTGGTTATGCCGTGGCTGGTGGAAGAGCCCCCCAATAGAAGGAACTCTAGAGAGCCTCTCAAAGAGAGTATATTCGCCGAGTTGTTTCTACGCTGGTCACAAGTGTTGGAAGAGGTTGGACTACTCACACTTTAAACCCCACCACACACAACCTGTCAATCGACTAACTGCAAGTGTACTCATTTATATCTGCTGGGCAGACAGAGGCGGCTCTTGGCTGGCCATCGAACAAGAACAAAGACAGTGGACATTGCATCGCGCGCTTTCAGGTAGCGCTTCTGCGGCCACCTGGAACGCTCTTCCTTCCGATATTAAGAAACAACTGAAGCTTTGCACTTTTGTATCTAGATTGAAAACTAATTTTTAAAGATCTGCTTTTTGTGTTTAAGTTTGTTGTCCTTTCCCCCTCACTTCCGAGTAGCGCGGTTGGCTACGTACGGTGCGAAAGAAGTTCAACATACAGTACATACAGATGAGGGAGGATTGAAGAAATTATCACGTGACAGCAACATGAAATGGAAAAGGCTAAGATTATTAATTGCACTTCGGGCAGTCAGTCCAAAAAGCTTATATTGGAAGCGTTTGCACAATAAAATAAATTTGGTGTACAATTATCCTGATACGATAAAACAAATCAGAAGTTGTTAAGTGTGTAAATTAATAGATCACGACGTTTTTTCTTGCTGTGGTTGTCCCACCTGATGACGGTTGCTTGTGTTGCGATCGAAACGTCGTTATCTATTATTTTTCTACCTACGTGACTTTACCGGAAGAACTAAAGAGTATGGATTCCTGCAGTCACGATAGCTTCGAATCAAGATTGCTAAGTGTGATTTAGGAAATGAGTAATGTACATTAAATTATCCTTGTGATTTTCTATTTTACCGATTTCTGAAACCAATTATGTGCAAACAAAGTAAAACATATTCACTCATTAAATCTTTGAATAATTTAAAAGCCTCTGTTGGAGTTGTTGACAAGCTTGATAACAGAGTGAAAAAATATCCTGACATGGCAAATGTGCAAGGCACATCATTACATGTGAGCAGAAGTGTAAGGTCATGACCTTGGACTGAAACAAATGCATAAGCTACGGGAAAGTGAGACTGCCAAAAGGTGCTCATCAATTCATCACAATGTAAGCTCTCCTTTTTATTCCTTAATCAAATGTATTCTTTAGTCTACATGTTAAACGCTTATAGCAACATGCACTTAACTTTATTGGTTAATACTGATTACCTGCTCGATTAAAATTAAATAAAATGTGTCCATGCAGCCTTATTAGAATATTACATTTCAAAGTTGGTGCAAATGCAATGCACGTTCGTGCCAAGTCTGAGTGTTCTTGTGCAAATTGGTGTGCGATCCCTCTCCACCTCCCCCCTCAAAATAAGATAATGTGCAAATTCCCAAGTCCCAAAAATGCACACGCTGTGATAATTGACCAAAGGAAAGCAGCAACCGTCTTGATCAGGCAAAAGTGGCATTCAAATTGTGGCACAAAAGCAGCGACACTTAAAATAAAAGAACAAAAAACCCAACTCTTACATAAATAATTTAGCGGAGCATATATGTGCCACTGAAAACAGTGCTGGTCCCGTTGTTCTCTCGGCCACCAGAGTGTTTAATGACCCAAGTCCATCTGCTTGTGCAAACACAAGTGAATTGACGAGCATCGCCTCCTGCAGAGACAGCCTGAATAACTGAGTGTGTGGGGGGGGTCACACGTAAACCCCTCAGCAGGGCCCGACCATCAACAGCTACAAATTGTTCATCTGTCACGGACGCGTTCACTGCATCGTTTTGAATAATTGAATGGCGATGATAGCCCTGAGATGAAATGCCCGATACGGGAGTGGGGAACGTCGAGAGCTAATGTTGGGGCCGACCCAGGAGGTTCAATGCATAACTGCAGTCTGATGAATCCTCAAACATGCCCCGTTTGTTTTACGTTCACTATAATCACACACGTACATACTTTTGGAGACATTTCCCATATGCAAACAGATTTTTGTTTATGTCTTACTTTGCTTCATTATCATGTTATTGCTGGAGAGCACTATCGAAATGAAATTCACAAAACCTTACTCTGCAGTGAAATAGAACCGCTTTGAATGTAAAACACCTCAACACCGCAGCACTTAATGAAGGGCGCTTATGTGATTTACAGTGCCACTTGATTTATTACTAAAAACTGTCACGGCAGGCTGGGGGGGGGGGGTACAATCCCACCAACCTTCCCTTGTCCAATGCTTAACAGAGTGCAGGAGTGAATTACATGCCGATTGAGAAGCGCCTCCCAGGTGTCATTGTGATGCCCGATCCACCGAATGCCACAGCGACTCGTAGGGGTCTCTGCACTGCCAAGGGGCACACATCTCTCAGGAGGAACAACCAACCCCATCGTGTCGGTTCCCGAGCGACTGAGATCCGTTGCGCCAGAACTCGGCCGGCGCCCAGGGCAGATTATTCACTGCGAGTGGATTGCCAATGATGACCGTGATTGCTGCGATCATAACTTGCACGATCGCGTGGCCCCGACAGAGTCAAAGTGAGGGCAGCAATGGCGAGTTGGAGCACCTCACCACATGGCTACCACACATGATCAACGTCAATCAACCATGATCAATCTACCGCCGGATGAAGGCCTGTTCCAAAGCCATCGTCTTCTCTCATGATCAAATAATAACACCCCCCCCCCGCCCGCACCTACACATCAGTTGATTGCATCACTCCATATGCCCTGCGAACGTCCTTTCAGACGTGTTGCCATCGACACTTATCAAATTCTAATTTGTCAACAAACCCATGTTGCATACACCGGTTTACCAGACCAAAAAATTGGTTCCTAGTCAGAATGCACGGCTAAATAACCAATCAAGCACAGTCCCCTCTTCAGCTTTTGGGCTTTTACCATGGCAGGGCTCCCATCCATTAGTCTCAGTTTAAATCCCACGCAAGTCAACTCAGCCGCATTACGATGGTCATCATAGCTTCAGAAGCTTCAACACGAGCAACCTACCTCCTGGTGCGGCTACACAGCTTTGATGCTGCTGGAACAGTGTTATTCTCGAGTAGACTTGTCTCTGCCATAGAAGCGTGTAATTTCCTCCTCAGTGTCGACTTCCAACCGAAATGGGCACCTCAGAAATGTCCATTAAAGCAGAGGGATGACTGAAGATGATTTGGCGTTGAGAAATTTAATAAAGACTCCTAATGAAGTGCACAGAGATTATGCAAAATTGCGTCTTCAATAACTATTCAATTAAAGTGCATATACTTTGATCAACGATGGTGCTAAGGGGGCTGTAACGTATATGTTTTTTGTACGTTGTCAAAACCTACATCTTGTCGCACCAAACTCAAGAAGACACCTCTTTAAGCCATTACATTTAGGTCAACGTCAGCCGTGCTATAAACTCTTATCCACGCATACCGAATACACTGACTGACGCGCCTGAATAAATAGCTTCGGTACAAAACAGAAACAATAACAGTACAAAACAGAAACAACCAAATGAATTCCATCTAAACAATCGCATTGTGCATCGGCGGATCATGTGACGAACTGGAGTTAGGTGTCATTTAAAAACACCTAACACAGCAAAGGGCTTAGAAAGCACGACATCTCTAATTGCGTATTAAATTATACAACAAACGTGGTACATGCGTGAGGAGGCGGTGTGGTAATAAAAAAAAATCCGGTAGCGACAACAATTATTTTGTGTTAATTTAATTTCACAAAAAAAACGAAAGCTTCCGTTGAGTGCGCAAAGCTTCAGTGAAGCTTTAAGGAAGTGAGGAACAATTTGTGCTGTCTGTACCGTACAAAACGTGCTCCGTCGCTGTTATTGCCGATAGAATAATCTATTGTTCTTGTTGTTATCAGCGAGCCCGTAGGAAGCCGGCTTAAATAGCTCTACGTCGGACAATTAAAAATACGAATTGCAAAAATATGAGTAAAAACAGACTTACGGGGGGGGGGGGGGGAAGCCCCAACAAAATGAACGCAGCAGCGTGACAGCGTGCGACGACCGGCGAGACGACGAAGCTGAACGCAACACACACACGCAACTAGATCGCACGCAACACACACACACGCGCAACCAGATAGACGCAGCGCGGCGCGGCGCACTAACCCCGCCACCAACTACGTTGTGCGAACCGGGGGCTGTGGGGACCCATCGGCAAATAAAATACACCGACAGCAAACACGCCACGCGCCGAAGTTAACAACACTTATAATCACGACTGCCAGGCCCTGCTTGTTGTTGTTGTTGTTAAGAACGATAGCAATCGCGCTGAGGTATTTTTTTTTTAAAGCGAGAGAGAGAGAAAAAGGAAGTGAGGGGGGGGGGAGGGCATGGGGATAAGAAACCGACCTGCAGTGGTGGTGGCCGCTTCGTCCGACAGCGTGAAGCTCGCGTCCGCCATGTTGCCTCTGCACACCGAGGCGCGTGCTTCACGCGAGGGGGTGGGGCCACAACTCAGGGGGGCGGGGCCACAATCCAGGCGGGGGCGGAGTCTGTAGGGGCGGGGATTTCAATTGAGCGGGGAGGGGGCATCTTAAAGGAGGGCTACCAAAGGCGGGGCTTAGTTAGAGAGAGGCGGAGTCTGCGCGATGACGTCGCCGTCCCGCCCGTGACTCGGGGAGGGGGGAGGGGGAACCCTGGAGTGTTGCATGAGAAGCGCGCGCTTTCGATTGGACAATGACGGCGTTGCCGTGGGTGATGAGGGGGCGGAGATTGGGTGTGGACGTCAGCGAACGACGAGATGCTGATTGGATTTTGGTTGGCGGGGTGGGTGGAGATGGAGGTGGGGGTTGGGGTGTGAGCGGTAGGCGGGGACAGAGGCGTGGTGATGGGCGCGGCTTCCAGTTTGATTGACGGGATGAGTGCGGATCGGGCATGCGCCGTAATGTTTTGATTGAACAATAATCATTAAACCAGGGAAGAGCGTGAGAATGCTATTATGTGCAGGCTTTAACACTTCATTATAGTAAGGACCTTTCATTAGGCGGAATAACACACAAAAGGAAAACTATTCTGAGGAACAAAATATATGCAAGTGTAAAAAAAAATCTAATGTTATTTGTTAAATCGTTATTGCAGACAGGAAATGCACATGATAATACTGCGATGCTATCATCACTCATGAGCAATCCACTGCTAGGTGAAGGCCTCCCCACATGACATGGCCATGCCCCATATATGTCGCTCTTGCATGTAACTCCTGCACCAATGCTAATCGAATCACCACCCCGGTGATTGTCCAAACTTCCACAAGTATGACATCTCGAACATCCACATCTGCAAAATACCTTGATTCTTGGAGTATATTGTTTAAAGTGATCTACATAGCATTTTTCCACTAGTTTTATGCTTTTATTTCTCCCGTCAATGATGATTCAATCTTTCCTTGATAAGGGCTGATAATTTTGATTTATCGATCCTCAATAAAAAAAATGTTACTGCTTATATGCTCCCATTACCTATGACATCTGAAAAAAAAATATTCGTAACGAATTAGTGACAGTATCTCATTATTTTCCTCATGATTTTACATAGTTTGGTGTACACGTACTGCATTATATATTTGGTATTTCATTTTCATCCCTATCATTATTCTAAATCACGCTTACTGTGGTGTTATCCATCCACTTACTCACTTTGCTTATCAATGGGTATGAAGCTATTCCTTAGACTTTAAACTCTCCTACCTCCTGAAATAGACTTTTGATATTAACTGTTTTAATTTGTACTCTTTGGTTCTTTCGGTAAAATCACGTAGAAAGAAAATAAATTAAATAATAGATAACGACGTTTCGATTGCAACACAAGCAATCGTCATCAGGTAGAACTAAATTTGAGAGAGTAAAAACACAGACACAGAGACACACAGAGAGAGACACACAATATAGACAGAGAGACAATGCCTCTGTGTCGAAGCCTCATTTAAGGCCTCGACACAGAGGCATTGTCTCTGTGTGTCTATGTTGTGTGTCTCTGTGTGTCTGTGTTGTGTGTCTATGTGTCTCTGTGTGTCTATGTTGTGTGTCTCTCTCTCTCTGTGTGTCTCTGTGTTGTCTCTCTCTGCTTGTGTCTGTCTGTGTGTCTCCGTGTCTGTGTTTTTTCTCTCTCTCTCAAAATTAGTTCTACCTGATGACGGTGGCTTGTGTTGCAATCGAAACGTCGTATTCTATTATTTAATTGATTTTATTTCTATGTGACTTTACCGAAATAACCAAAGAGTAATTCCTACAGTCACGAACGCTTAATTTTTCCCTGTACTGTAATCAGCTTTGTCCTATATTTGGCGATGTTGAAGTGTAATTTGAATCGCACTCGTCTGTGAGCATTTGCTTGTGATGCTGAATTTGCCAATGATAGATAAGTCTTTCATAATGTGAAGTTTGCCCGTGACAATAAAGTTTGGGCTCCTTTATGTCCATAACCCTAGACTCCTTGAAAAAGTGATCAATTATATTCATGTCCCTGAGTTGGAAACTCCAATAAATGTTCTCTGTCCCTTCAAAGTGCGGTCTTTCTCGTTTGGCCGTGCACTGACCATTTATTCCCCTCAAGCTTTTTGCCACGCACCGTTCGTGTGGGCATCTTCAGGAGTTGAATCGTGGACAGCTGCCAGCAGTAGCGCTTGGTGATGAAAGTTTTTTGAGACGTGAAATTCTAAACACACTGCCTACCCTGGGAGACCAGACTTCGGATTGCGCGTGGCTGCACAACAACCTACATGCGAAAGTTCTCCTTTGTTGTGGGAAGAAAAAAAAACAAGCATTTAATCTCCATATATATAAAAGGCAAAGTTGTGATTGTGCGTGTCTGTTCAAAATGTTTAGCGTACTTCCCAGACATGCAACTTGAAATTTGCCATGTAGGTAGTTTCCAGACTGTACACCATGCAAAAAATATAAAAATATACTTTTTTTTTGGGGGGGGGGGGGGGAGCTCAATAATGCATTAATTTTTTGCACGGCAAGTGAGCTGTGACGTCAAATCTGTCACGTGACCCGCACGTGTAGAAGTGTAACGCATTGTAGTGTAGTGGTTAGCACGCCGCGCTACAAACCCGGCGACCCGAGTTCGATTCCCGCTCACGGCCACCACCGGTGACGATTATTTCAACCGCTCCTGGGTCTCCCCTAGGTCGACTCTGCCTAAAACGAGTCACTGGTGTGGTGTGTCGGCGTCGCCACTGGGGAGACAAAGGCGGCTGGGCGTGGTGAATCCAAGTCCCGGGCGAAGCCGGGTAGTAAAGCTAGTCAATTATATATTTTACATTCATGGTTGCAGCATATGTATGCGTCCGTTCAGTTCTCACTTACTGCAGACATGTTAAATTTATACCACTGACCCAGGGCTGTAAATATATATGATCGCCACACTCATGTTAGTCACTGATCTAATGTTGTGAGGAATTACCAAAGCTTGCAAGCTGCTGAGAAGAGGACGTTAAGGAGTTCTGTGACATCATTATTTGCACGCGAAGGCCGTTTTGTCTGATGGTGTTCTGACCCTAATTACAAATTTGAAGATTTAGCTACGGCGTGTCTCGTCTTGTGAAATACGTAACTCAGTGGGCTGCAAACCTGGTGAATTAATGGAATTCAATGAAATCAAATGAATCAACATAACTGTAGTAATAACGATGACAATCCGAATAATAGTTGTGTCAGTTCTGCGTGTGTTTTATGACCGTACGATATTTTATTCTGGTGCAATTTTTTTTTTCCTCCAGAGCATTTGTGGAGCCATTTCCAAAAAATGCGTATTTTTCAAAACGTCTGTGGCCAACCGCAGACTGATGGCTCCGCTTTTCTGAGGTCACATATTCTTTCATAGCCTGGGGTATCGATACAAGCAGCCTCAAATGACCAGTGCGACATTTTCGTTTATTTTCCCAAACACAATGACTTGTTTCGTCTACGGGTCTTTCAGAGGCTGATGTCTGTGATTTTTTTTTTCACGACCCATTCGAGAACAACTTTTTCAGGTTGATGGCCCTATTTTTAAAAAGGTCACGTATACAATTTTATATGAACGTATGAAGCGTGCGCGCGCGAAGTGTTTATTCATAACCTTCACAGGCTTTGTGCAACCTGCAGTTCAACCACCAACTTTGACACTGAGACGGAGTAGAAGGCGTCTAAGTAAAGTGGGGAACCGTACAGCGTTTGACACCGGCGAGCCACGATTCCTCAATGCCTGCCGCTAAACTCCGTGGCTGGCTACATTTGCGAGCGTCAAATCGTTCAGCACGACCAATCTGAGACGACTAAAATGCGTGTGTGTGTGTGCTTAGTTTGTTGTCAAAGATGGAGAGCGGTGATGAAGAGGTGATGAAGCGGTGAGCGTGCTGCGCTACAAACCTGACGAACCGAGTTCGATTCCTGTTCACAGCCAACACTAAGTGACGATTATCTGAGCTGGTCCTGGGCCTCCGCTAGGTCGACTCAGGCTCAAATGAGTACCTGGTGCGGTGTGTAAACATCGCTTCTGGGGAGACAAAGGTGACCGGGCGTGGTGCTGGCCACCCACCCCTTTGTGTGTCGTGACGGCCTTCATAGGTGCTCGCTAACAGCTTTTGCCCCAACAGTCTGCTAAGGCTATATGGGAGATCTTTGTCTTAGTTTGTTGTCCTTCCCCCGCGCCTCCGATTAGCGCGGTCAGCTAGTACGGTGTGAAAGAGATTAAATATACATGCGTACAGATCTCTCTCTCTCTCGCACTCCCTTGCACCAGATCTCGGAAGATAAGCAAGATTGATCCTGGATAGTGCTTTCGATGCGCGATCACTATAAAAAGTAGGCAGGTTGTTGGAGGCTGTGGAAATCCGTTGTAGGTACAGTGAGGGAAAAAAGTATTTGATCCCTTGCTGATTTTGTACGTTTGCCCACTGACAAAGAAATTATCAGTCTATAATGTTAATGGTAGGTTTATTTGAACACTGTGCGACAGAATAACAACAACAAAATCCAGAATAACGTATGTCAAAATGTTATAAATTGATTTGCATCTTAATGAGGGAAATAAGTATTTGACCCCTCTGCAAAACATGACTGAGTACTTGGTGGCAAAACCCTTGTTGGCAATCACAGAGGTCAGACGTTTCTTGTAGTTGGCCACCAGGTTTGCACACATCTCAGGAGGGATTTTGTCCCACTCCTCTTTGCAGATCTTCTCTAAGTCATTAAGGTTTCGAGGCTGACGTTTGGCAACTCGAACCTTCAGCTCCCTCTACAGATTTTCTATGGGATTAACGTCTGGAG